TGGGGCATGAAATAAAAAAAAATAAATTAAGAGAAATTAAAATGACAGTAAGCAGTCCTTTCCATTGTGCACAAAATAGATACTGTATTTCATCAGTATTTACCCGTGTCTATTCAATTTTTCATTGAATACAGTGAAAAAGGTAAAGCTGAAATTAAGGTGCCTTTACAAATCTTAAATACATTTTTGAATTTTATAATATAATTTTATGTAATTGATAAAATTTTTAAATGAAAATTTAAATTGAGATTAAGATTTTTTCCTCAACTTCTACCTCATTAAAAAAGTACAGCAACAGAATATTATGAACAATTACACATGTTAAAATTATTTCCTCATGTATGTGAAGGTACATTTTTAAATGTATAATTTCAGTAGCTATTAAAAAAATTGATTTATTATACGAATAACAGAGCAATATAAAAAACTAAAATGGGTTTTTAAATTATTTATATTTAATAAAAATGTATTTCAACTGTCATTATTCTTACTTATCAAAGCTTGCTTGCTTGTGTAGCAAACTGTGTGTTATGCGTGGTCTTGTTGATTTTGATTAAATACTTGCTGATGCACATTTCCACTGCAGGAAATTCAAATGCAAACTCACAGCCCCTGTACATTAACCATGAATTCTTTCCTCCTGTCCATTCCCATCACATGCTAAGACTGTTCTGAGTTCTTTTCACAAGGCTTCTACAATATCGTTTATAAAATGTCACCTTTGATTAGTACTTTCATTCTCAGATATGCTAACGTGCTTTTAAAACATAGAATGCACATCATCCATCTTTTATTTGATGGTTGCATTCTACCTTCTGAACTTTCAAGCTACTAACACACCTAGGTCAAGGTTCTGTTAATAAAATGATGCCTAGTGACAGGTAGAGAGGGAGTTAACTGACTACAAGCATTTGATCAACTGTTACCTGTAATTTCTCTGTTTTGTTGCCTTGGGCAAGTGAGCTAAAGAGGAGGCAAGTAACTGCAAGCCCCATTTGTCCAACTGGGTGATTAGACGGAAAGATGAAAGGCAATATACTCATGTGTTTCTTACAGCTTTATGATTTTAATCCATTTTGTCAGGGAAATACATTTTGGTCCATCAGATAATGTGATAGCTAAACTATTCAAACAAAGAGAAGAAGAATATTTCTGTAGTGGAGATAAGTTTCTTAATATGATTTACTAGAGGTACTATTTCATGAGTAGTCAGATGCACAGTATTTCAGTTTAACCACTAAGGATATACTTATATCTAGAAATGGTCATTTTTAATAGTAAAAAAATAAAATATTAAACACATAAAACAAAAAATTTGAGATAATGATTCAAATAATCTAATATACATACATTATTAACTGACTCTTCTGACAATTAAGAATCTTATTTTATACAATTTAGATTATACACTTGCTTTTATTTGATTTGTTAGAGCACCACAAACTTTTAGAAGAGAAATATGTAGATCTTTTGAAGTCAGACCTATTTTAAATCAACTATTTTGGAAACTGTTTCAACATAGTAGTTATCCTAATGCAGTTCAGTCTCGCACTGTAAATGAGCGGAACGTGTTCCCAAGCTTTGCAGAAGTTCAGAATTCAGCAGTAGGGTAAATGCTGCTGTTCACACCAGCCATATCCTATGATCAAAATACATCTTTGCAAAGGCAAAGGAGAAGGAGCCTTTCAGAGTTTCCAAAAGAACCTCAAACACCTGAATTTTTATGTGCAGGAGAAGACCCAGAAAAAAAAGACAGGAACGTTCAACTTGGTCTCCTCTCTGGGATCAGCATCATACGGAAGAGGTAAAAATACATGGTAAAAAAACCAGCAGCCGATTCAGACTGAAACTATCTCCTGCTCCTGGAACTATTCTTGGCTCAGAGAGGAAAAGAGAAGCATCTCACCTTGGAGCTAACTCAACAGAGTGGGGAGTGGAATGCCAAACTGGCATCCTGGCCCCAGCTACCAAGGAGTTTGCCACAGTTCAGATGTTTGTAGTTGTGATGGAGGCACAAGGCTTTTCAGATCTCTGCCAGTGGCTGCTGGAAACGGAACTACCTTTTAGTCTCAGTCATTCTGTTTCAGAACAAACTAAGTTGTATTCCAGAAAGTACTTAATAAAGAGGAAAACTTTTAAGCAGGAAATCACTTTGCAGTATGCCACTTGAAAATGTGGAATTCCTGTTCAGCCTGCAATGTCCTCAGTAAAAAATGGAGATTGAAAGCACAAGTAGAATGAAGCAGTCAAAGTGACCTCAATACAGAAGAACAGAGAAAAAAGGAAAAAAAAAGCAGGGCTTAACCATGTGCTCAAAAGTACATAAAAGTAATTCTATTGACTTCAACTGGCAGCACTGACGTACTATGCAACTGTTGGGAACTTGACCTCTGCTGGCTGCTGTGTACAACCTTCTTATAATCAAGAGAGTCACATCATCAAGTGGCTTTGCAAGGACAGGAGATAATTAAATGCGATCAGGTCTAGCAGAGGAAAGCATAATATTAATCTGCAGTAATAGTAGAAATAGTTCCTAATTATAAAATTCCTTAAATGATTGCTTCTTTTCTTTCCAGAAAAACAACATTCTGGCATTAGCAAGGTTTACGTGGGGTCACTAAAACAGATGAATTTTGTTATTCTGGTTCTTCCATTGTGACTGTATACATCTGCATCTTTGCTTTGATTTGTATTTTAAGACTGCAAGGGGCAGGAGGCGAGTGATTTATTCCAACATGCTATGCCAGATCCCCAGTATACAGCTGAGCAACTGGGACTAGTTGGGCTGGGAACTAATTGGTTGCTAAAAACAATAAAAGATAGGAGTACTTTTAAAAGACATCTAACACTCTGACTGTATAAAATTAGACTGAAATGACATTATTGAAGAAAGCTTTCAAGTGTCAAAAATGAAAGAAGGTCATACATACTCCACTGAGGAAATCTACATCTCACCAGAGGGGACACATCCACTTTCATTACTCTATTTTATCTGTTTTGTCTTTTACAACAACTTTGTAGGGAGACAGAATACAAAGCTAAGAGATATAGTTGAGAGTTGAAAAAATAAGCACAGAGAGTAGATAAAAGATGTAAGAAATGGAAAGAGAGGTCAAAATTTTAAAATTATATATAGCACAAAGCTAGTATAAAATAGTTATTGATGAAAAGCTAGGCTGTCTTAAATGAAAATGTTACACATCCTACTATTTTTGTTTTAAGAAATATCATGCATCATAACAGTCGGTGAAATGATACCAAGATAAATATAAGTTTAGTTCATATGTAACAAGAAATAACTAAATTAATTTTTCAACTCATTGCTTTTCTATCTCTTTCCTTGTTTGGTTGTTTTAGCTTTTTTCCCCTCTCCAAATGATGCAATCTATTTATGGCTACCTATTCTCACTGTTTCTGATTGATTCTGTTGTTTTAAATTCATCAATTCCTATGCACCTTTTGTAGATTGGAGGCAGATCTCAAGGCACATTTCAGCTACAAAACTGCATCTGCTAATTAACGTTAGTGAGACAGTGCTTGTGATACATACAGAATCATAGCTTGTACAAAATTAAGGAAACACAAACTCACTGTGACTGGAGGGTCCCCGGGAGGTCCACTAGTCCAAGTTTTTGCCTAAAGCAAGGGGTGGCACTGAATTCATGTTGGGGTGCTCAGGGCTTTTACAAGTTGGGTGCTAAAACCTTCAGGGATAGCAGATCCACAGCCTCTCTGGGCAACCTGTCCCAACTTCTGCTGGATTTGCTGAAGTTTATCACCATCCTTCTTGCATTTTCATCTAGAGTCAAGTTTTTAAAAAATAGTTTAAAAAATTTCAGTTCCATCAAGTGATGTACCACAATACATAAAACTACATGAGCATATCGGCTTTATTCTAAATCTTTCTTGTGCTATGTTCATTTTGAAGGTCGTGCTGGATTGTGAAGCTCTCAGGCAAAGAACTTTATCTTTTTACTCGTATGGAGTACAACATGAAAAATAAAAAAAAGGCAGGGGGGAGTGCCTTTCAAATTTGTTGAAGCAATGACATGGTTATTTTCCAGGTTATTTTCCTTTCTAATTTTACTGTACTCTTTTGTCTTCTCTTGCATTTGGTTTGCTTCACCTAACCTTTCATGTTGTTTATTGCTCACCTTTCCATTAGTGGTACGCTCTATTTTTACCCCCTGTAAATACAATGCATATTCCTGTCCCTTTCCTTATAATGTTTCCAGCAGTGTGAAAGCATATCTACATTTTCCTTATATTTTTCTTTCATCTTAATGCAATATACTTCATATCCGCTTCACTACTTTCCTCTCAACTAAATTGTTCTAAATTATTTGTTTGGTGTGAGGGGAGAACACTAATGTAATGTAAATAACTGCTTTACCTTTGATCACCTGGCTATCATACCAGTTTGTGTATACTGTTTTTAGTTCAATTATGTTATATCACTTGGCAAGAATTAGTTCATACAGGTTTTATACGAGATTCACAAAAATACTCTGCCCAAATGCTGATAATTAAAATGTCCTCCCCATCAATTGTATTTTATTGCTTTGTGTCATTAAATAGCATGTTAATGTATCATTGGCATTATATTATATGATACATTAGGAAAGCAGGATTTTTGCACACACAATTCTTACCAGATGCTTTAATTCTGACTTTCTTTTTTTTTGTAGTCATCACCTTTAGTTTTAATATAAGTTTTACCTCGTTACAATATTTTTTGTTGCTAGTATATTAATGGCTTTTCCCAATGTGCCCAAATTAGTGGAAAGCTGTTTATTAGTAATCCATAATACACAAGTATTTCTGGATCTGTAGGAATCAGGCTTGTTTTTATCCCCCCCCCCCTTCAAGTTGGTCAAGAACTGTATTATAAGCTCTCATCTGCTCATATTGAACTCATCAGGAAACCCTCTTTTTGCTTTCCCTGAGAGTGGATTATTTACTGTGGATGCAGAATTTCACTTACTGGCAGTGAATCCGATGCCTGAGTGCTAACAGTGTTAGAGAAAGCAAGGAGTATAAAATGCTTTCCTCCTGCTGTGAGCCAGGTAGGACCATGATGATGGTCACTGCCCATTCTCCTCTGAGGATCTCCATCATCTGGTAGCCTTATCACCATGGCTCTACTGCTGCCTTCCTCCCAGACCATTTTCTGTACAATAATGCAGAAGGTGTTTGCATTCTGTATCCTCTTCCATGGGTTATCTACAAGCTTGACAGAGGTCCTGATATCCTCTTTACAGTAAAGAAGTACTTATCTACAAAAAGAAGTACAGTTAAGACTGATATATAGCAGAAAATACAGACTTTCTGCCTGTTCATCCATACCAGTCTAAGGGGACAAATGGCTAGCCAGCAAAACACCACTGAATTTATGGTTATTCATGAGGTGGTTACAGCTATGTACTACACTCTGCCTTTTGTTATAGGTTGGAAAATTAATTTAATTTTTTTTTTTCATCTTATAGCAATCCTTTCCTGGAAACCCTTTCAAGAAGAGGTTTGTAGTGTGCTCATTAGAATTTAATCTCTTCTATTTTAATAAGTATCCTAGAGGGTTATTAAGGTGTTAGAATTATCTCTGAAGAAAAAGAATGACATTATTAGTTAGCAAATTAAGAAAATTTGTCTCCCAAATACATTCTGTTTGAATAGAAACAAAACAGTTTTATAACAAAATGTACCCTCTTACTGATAACTTGTTTATTTTCAGAAGCAGAAAATGTTTTTTTGAAAACCATATAGAAATAACATTTCAAAACAAGGAAATGTATTTCAAAGTATAATTTATCAGAATGAAGGTTTAGTACCTCCAACACAGTCACAAACTGTGTTACACTATTATAAATGGGGACATTAGCTCTGTTAATAAATTTGAAAAATTGTCTCAAATACCGTTATTTTTTACTAACACCCAGACTGCACCCACCCAGTTATTTAAAGGCAGCACGGATAAGCAGCAGTCCCACACATTCACTCTTAAGGGAACCTTCAAAGCTGGAGCATTACGTGACTACCTGGGAAGCAGTTTTCTGGAGGCTCAAGGCAGGCTCTGGTGGTATCTGGAGCAACCAAAAGCAATGCCGTGGAGGCCAGCAGGAGCTGAGAACCTGGTTTAATTGTCCACTGGGTGCCACAGTAATGAGGTTGGCCAAGCTTACGTATACCATTCACTTAACTGAGCAGTACCAGGAAGCGAGGGTCAGTCACTGTGTGCATCCCGAGCTTCCTGGATGGGGGCATCCTTCAGCAAACAGCATGGTTGATATTTGATTGCATGAACGACTCACAGAGTCTGCCAGGGCTGGAAGACTACAAAGCAACGGCAGTAATTCTAGTCACTCTCCGGGGGACGCTGTAGGCTTGCACGTTTCTTTCTGAGCCCTGACTTACAGGGTTACTGTTCTGTTTGGACCCTGAGATGATACTTGGGGAAATAGCAGACAGGGGAAATAGCAGACAGGAGCAAGAGTGAGATCAGATGATAGCCAGAAGGCATCCACAGCTGTTATAAATTATGATATATAAATTACCAGAGGCAATTTAAACAAGTCTCCAGAGGGCAGCTTCCACTGAGAAACTTACACGTGCAGAAGGTGCTAAAGAAATAAGCCCACACACTTAAGAGTGTGGTTGTCTGTGTTCACAAATTGGCTGTCCAACCCTGGCCACCACAAATGTCGAGGACCATGTGTTCCCAAGTGACTTGTCACCAGAAGTAGCAGGAGATGTCAGGTCTGCACTTCGCAGCAGCCAAGGATCCATCCTGTCACGTGCTCAGGGAGGAGCAGGACCATCTGTAGGATACATTGCCTGGCAACGGTCCCCAGGACCTCACAGAAATCATGCTCCCTCTCACAGCTGCACAACTTACTGCAGATGGATTTACTAGTAATTAGTTGAGCCAGAAACATCTTTCATCTTCTGTCCATCTTTCTGGTAGCTGGTCACCAGCACAGAAGTAGTCAGTGACATACATATGAACACGGAGCATCTGAAAACGGTAGAACAAATGAGAGTTACTTTTTAAGTCCTGACTCTTAAAAACTGCCTTACAGTAAGTGCTCTGTCATGTATTGGTTGAAAATTTTCAATAAAATTCTTAAATCTATGAGATAATATCATTATTGTGGTGAAAAAAAATCATTATTATTGGAAAAATTAAATAGCAATAAGCCAATATTATGTCATTGTCTTATAACTTGCTGCTGACAGGGCAAGAAACTGAAAAGTGCTTCCAAAGCTGATAAATCAGTCCAGGTTCTTAAACTAGCAATCAGGTGGAAATGGAAATTCACCAAATACAGCTAGAGTTACCCCACAATATTTGAGTACAACTACATGTTTTAAAGTGGTCATTAATTTTGGATCTGCTCATTTTTAGTATCCAAATCAGATCAATTTCAAGTGTTAAGCTGTAGCTGCGATGTAAGAAGTGCTTATCAAAGATTTGCTTCCAGATGTAATTTAGTAGTGACTTTTTGAAATATTATCTCATATTATGCCTAAATCCAGTTGCATTTCAGTGTTTTTATTTGAAATAAGAAGCTATATCAAAGAACATTCTTATCTATGAACAGTATTATCATAGGCTGCTCTCCATAAGCTTTTTATTGCTAATCTTTTTCTGCTGGAGACTTGCACGTATTTTAGACTGAACCTTTTTTTGCCGATGCTTTGCATGTGGAATGATAAACAGGTTTATCAATATACAATCCACCTGAAACCAGTGCATATTTCTTAAATAATTCAGTTAGTTCTTTGGACATCGCTTAGGTTGCATTTGAAAACAACGTTAACTTTTCTGGATAGATAAATACCATGGTAAACAAAGAGAAATACTATATTCAGCATGAAGGACTTCTGTAGTTAATTACAGACTCTCTCTGTAAAGGTAGCAAAACATTTTTCACGGCAATTTCTAGTTTTGACACTTATCTTATTTGTTGATCATTTCACATATTTAACTTCACCCTAAAAATTAAGTAACATGAAATGTTACCAAAATAAATATTGTTTAATCATACAAGATTTGAAAACACCTTGAACATGCCTTCTCACACCTTCATAGTAAATGCTCCTTCTGACAATCTAATTGGACAACTTAGTAGGTTTCTTGTACAAGGAAAGGAGGCTACTTAGACAAAAAGAGTTAGATAAATTAGTAGTTCATGTCATAGACTCAAATCTCTGCAAAACTTCAGTCTCTTCATGTTGCTCTAGTTGTACAAAATGGGGTAGAAATAGCCTCCGGGAAGAATCCAGGAGTAATGAGGTTAGTTGAAGTGGAGCTGACAGAACAACTCTCTATCAGTCCCCTAACACTAAGACATGTATCTAGATGCAGCAGGTAAAATTCACCTTAAACAATCACAGCTACAATTTACCTGTAGATAAACTGTCTCCTACTTCTGTTTTTCTGGTTAAACGTAACAAGTTAAGATAGCATCAGAAGCTACGCATCATAACCTTTATGAGAAGTTAAAATGCTAGATTAACAGTGGACTTAGAAATATATGGCCACGTTTGCCTTAGCAGAGTTTTGCAGTAAGTTTTCACTATTTTCTCCTTTCTATAATAACAATATCTCCTTAACTTTAAAATAGTTTCAGTATGAAATACGGAATAACAGAATGCATTTCAGTTCGCCCTGGCCATTTGATGGCAATATACATACTAGATATACAATGTCACAAGGATAATTGATTGTGACATTGCCAAAGGGACACAACACTTTTTTCTGATAAACGCTTTACATCTTTCCAAAGGGTCACAGTCAGTATTTCAGCTTTAGGCTGATTTATTGCCTAAAGCAAATTTGATTTTAATAGACTTACACAAGCTATGGAAAAGGTGATCTAGAACAGTTACATGTTTAAAATGTGAAAAACGTTCCAGGGAAAATAGAAAAGCTGCTGCACTTGAACTTCTTTCATGCAAATAAAGTCTTACCTGAATATAAATGATGCACATTCTTGAACAGGACTGCCAAGCTGAAAACAACAAAGCATATTAATATTATAATACCAAGATGAGAGAGTTTGATCTTAGTTTGATAGAAATTATTTAAAAACCTAGATTAAGGAGGCCAGCAGAATGCAAATCATGAATAGGAGGAGGAAATGAAGCCTAGAAAACAGAAATCCTAGCAGTAGTTATTTATTGAAAAATCAATTTAAACCCACTCTAAAAAAAGTTCCAACCTAGAAACACTAGTGAATTTTATTTTTATTTTTGCTTATTAATTCTCCACTATCCTTCCAGTATAGGCACAATAAGGCTGATATCTAAGTGCTTTTGTTAGTAAAACTGATGCTGCTTGATGAACCGATAACATAAATTCTTGCCAAAATGTTCATTTACTGATAATTGCCAGCAGACTTTTTCATATGTATTATCCAGCCTCATGCAAGATTTGTCTCTACCTTTCTTTCTATGTTTAATTGGCCTTCTATATGCAGTTTCACATTATGCTTTTCAATCAAATACTGCAGTGATTCAGCAGTGATACCTACAGGTTTATGATGTTTGCATTAGCTAGACTTTTTTTTTTTTTTGGTATGCTAGCCTAATATAAGTAAACTGTATAAAAATGTCAAAACTGGTCTGATGTTTTGTCAGATTCTTATGGCATATTCCTCCATTTGAGCAGGATTACAGAGAAGTCTGAACAGGTTTTCAGTCCCAAAGGGTAGCTGCTGCAGACAAAAGTGCCAACTGCCTTTAATGATGGCTGAATAGCGTCCATGGTCATAAATGTCATTTCAAATGTGATGTCAAGGTCCAACTGCAAAAGTAATACCTTGAAAGGGAAAACTAAAATGGGATATGGAACTACCTGAACACAATAAGTTGTGCTCCAGATTCCAATGAAATGATAATGGCGACGCTGAAATTTTGTCTCTTTGAAGAATTACAAGATTCTCCCTTTACAGAAAAGATTTTTGTAAGAGTTTCCTTCTGAAAAAAAGAAAAAAGTAGATAAAAAAATAGGTCCAAAGACAAAGTAACTATGAGGGGCATTAACAGATTTATATCAGTAGTCACGGACGGTATTGCAGTGGGTGGAGGGGGGAAATGTGTGTGGGTTTTTTTTAATAAAGGAAAAGGCAGTATGCTTTTCAGAAACCACAGAAACATTTCAGTAGTCAACTCATATATGAGAAGGAAAAGAAATAAAGGGAAAAACAGAATTTGGGTTCCTTGACTTAAGAAACAGCATCTGCAGGATAAAAAGTGAAGCAAGGTTTCTTCTTATAGGTCAAATTCCCGCAATACTCAAACAAGGCATATAGCTACTTTCACCAGATCTGTACGTACCTCCAGGCTGTGAGCAGGGACTATCTTGACTCACAGTGAAGGAAACCTGACACGACCTTTCAGATGTGGGTAAGTCAGGTCAGGCTAAAGTGAAATACAGTCGGACAAATATTTAGAAAAAACATTTAAGTGATTGTGGTGCCCATGGCACTTTCACTAAATGAAACAACAGTTTGAGAGAATTTGCATGCGCTTTAATCAGGAATGTAAGACTTTTTGAAGTATGTAATGAAGGATGTCACTAAATGTGGGCAACGTTAGCATAAGATGGAACAATCATCCCTAAATAAAAACAGCTTTCATGCTGTGCCTGTCATGCTTGTAAGAACTGATACAAGTCAACAATAGACTGGACCTCAGTTATCATGCTTATTGCCTACCAAAGAAGTTTTAATTCACGACCATATGGTGGCTCTAAATAAGATCTCTTCAGCTTTAAGTCAGAGTCTCTTCACAATACTGAAAAGAAGATAGACAGTATTTTTAAACAGAAGCAAACAGTCCATTACAAAAGCCATCTTTACTTATAAATACACTATTTTGATACAGTGCTTATCAAAATCAATGATTGCCAAAGAAATCCTGGACACTACTCCAAAAGAAACTCTTGCTCTGAAGTGAGGTAGTTTCACACCATATCTTTAGGTGAGGGGTCAATAGCAAAGTCCTCTAGATCTTCAAACATTAACCAGAAGCGCGGGGGCTGGAAGTCTGGTTTGCTGGAGTGGCCAGGGCTGTCAGCCTCCATGGTGGCCCAGCTATTGTGATGGTGAACAGCTTCACTTGGGGCTTAGAATTTAGGTGGAGAGATGGTAACGTTTCACAATTAGTAAAGTCTGACCAGCTCACCTCCCCAGAGAAAGCCCCCACAAAATAGTTGTATTTGCGTTACATTTGACAGATATTATACTTGGAAAGAAATGTACTTATTTATGGAGACTTGTGCTTTGGTTCCAGGTTTGCAAATGCTAGAAACATGTTGACTTGGGTGAAATACTTGTGGTACATAAATATAAGCAAATGAATTAGTCTGGAAAAAAGCAGGGTCCTCGAATGAGAACAATTCAAGGGAAAAAAAAAAAAAAAGCAGCACAGGTGCAAAATCAGTAACAATAACAAATGGAAAACGTAAATGTTTACTATACAACCATTCCTTCTTTTGCTTTTTGTTTTCTGCAAAATCTAACAAGTATTCAATGTCATTAAATATGAGATTTCATAGGTAACACTGGAGTTCTCACCTGTTATTCCTAAATTTCTAGTGTAAATAAAGCAGAATCTTCAAATAGTTATTGAACTGTCTTCTGCTAAACAGAGAATGAGCCATTACTCCAGTTTATTAAAAGTCAATACATACAGTGTACATTTTCTTGATGATGACACTATTTGCTGCTACCAATTATAACCTATTTTTTTTTCAATCTAAGAAGGCCAGATTCCTTCAGCTCATACAATATGTGAACATATTCGTGCCATCTCAAAAGCAGATAAACTGAGTTCTTAGATGTTTTATTTATGGGATTTCAGTCTTAACAAATGTTGCAAATACAGCTCAGTAGCTCACAGAGCAGCATAACAAGACTGTTGAATTTATACACTATATATTAAGAATAAAAGTAGAGAATTGAGCGACATTTTATTTCACTTATTGCTAATGTGAATGATGTATAATATCTAGAAGTACACATAAATATATGTATACCTCAAAAAATAAAAACGGTTTTGAAAGAAATAGCGCATAATTTCTTTTCCTCTCATATCCAGGACACACTGAATGAACTTCAAAGATAAAGAATGTAAGACATAACCTCCCTGCAAGTTAACAGCCTTGGCTGTAAGTACTTGTTTTCCCCACATGCTGTTTGCCTTGTATAAACCATGCTGACAGTGTAGGACAATGGAATAGCAAGCTTTCCTAAAACAGATGTCTCTAAAAAATTTAAAGCACAATCTTTAACAAAGTTTCGCTTTCTTCTACTTTTACTTGTTATATCATGTCCACTCCAGATGTCCCTTGTAGTGAATTCAATATTAATGAGCAGTTTAATGACACCAAAGTGGGGACTGTCGCCATGGAAATCATAGTAAAAGGTCATTTCTGCCTCTCATTTCACACATATGGTATAATTATTTTTTTTCATGCCTGCATCAAAAAACTACAAGTTGCAAGTGAAGCATATGTATAGATGGGAATACCTCTTTGCCTGCAGATTACGAGTGGAGAACTGCACTGCTCAGTCTCATCTTCCTGACTAGTGCTATAAAAGAGGACAATAAATTAGTCAATAAATAGAAGAGTTACAGTTGGCTTCTGGATGCTCACATTTTTGTCCTACAAGCACCACATGTTTTCCCAGTTCAGCATGTTAATCCTATACAGGGTTAATTTTGAATTCATGCTTAAAGGTGCTTCCATATGGTAAAATGTTTGAGCATTTGCTTAAGCTTTTAATTGAGTGACTTTTTTGAATACAGGCCCAAATTCATCACTGTTCACTTAATTTGCATTTGGGAGTAGACATAACTCTCTGTGAAATACAGAGATTTTAGATCTGTACTGTGGTCAACAGTAATTTTCAGGGCTGTGGAATGTGCCAGAGGGATTTATGAGACCAGGGAAGTTTTCTGACCTAGTGCTTCTAGAGCACTGAACTATCTATATCAAGTATTTTTCTTACTGCCCACTCAGAAATCAATTCAATATTTATAGTTAGCAAAGTTTATATTGATTACAACCTAATCCTAATAAACTAGCTGTTTCACATAAGCTTCAGCTACATTGAGCAACAATAACATTTTGTCTCCTCAGGAAGTATTATGCATTCTTTTAAGGGCAAAAACCAGAGGCAGACAGTTTGAACAATAGTACAAGTTACTTCAGTTTTAATATGGGTCATTCAATTTCTAAGTGCTCTGTCATGTATACCAGGTGCAGAAGAGTCTGATTTGCTCTGCTGGCAAAAATGAATTTGAAAATATATTTCCTACATTTCAGAAAGCTCAGGTCCAAAGCAAGAATTGTGTTGGATTGGAAATTGCAATTTTACTTTTCTTAAACTCCTGACTCTTCAAGTAACAAGTAGCATCTGTAAAACTCAGTCTTGACACCGCTGCCAGAGAGAGACTCATTTGCAAAAGATTTTGGAATTAGCTAAACCTATCTAAAATCATCTGTTAGATTTAAACTGAGGTCCATCTGGAGTTGAATCTGTTGAAGGATGTGAAGTGCAAAAAGAAGGGCTCCTACAAGTAGATCATCAGCAAAAAGAAGTCTAGGGAAGATGTGGGCCTGCTGCTGGATGGGACAGGGACCTGATGACAAAGGACACAAAAAGGACCAAGGTACTCAACGCCTTCTTCACTTCAGTCTTTCCTGTTACAACTGACCTTCAGCAAAGAAAACTGCCACGCTCTTTTCAGTAGTATCTAAACAGGAAAAGAGGCATATTAAAATATAGGAAACTCCAGCTGAATATAAGGAAACACTTATTTATGTGAAGGTGTTTGAACACTAGAACAAACTGCCTGGAGAGGTTGTGGAGGCTCCATCTTTGGAGATATTAAAAACCTGATGGGACAGGGTCCTGGGCAACCTGCTCTGGGTAACTGTGCCTGAGCAGGGGCATTGGACTTAGTGATCTCCATGGGTCCCACCCAACCTCATCCATTCTGTTATTATACAACAAAATTAAGGAAAAAAGCCAATTGCCTCTATTCCAAGAGACAAAAGCCAGAATAATGGTATTTTTTCCATAATATAATTAATTCTATACTGAAGTACCCAAAAAGAATACTCACCTCTTGTTTAAACTAACTGCTGGATTTTTCCAAGTAGTGAATTGCTGGTTGATGTTGCCTTTTTGCTTGTTTCTACTTTACTGTCACGTGCTGGGACTGTAGATCCTTTCCAAGTTCAGCAAAGACTACTCCTATTTTGTGCCTACAAGAAGATTCAATGAACGTGTGATTTTCTGAATGGTAACTACAGATAGCAGATAGAATGATATTACTTCCATTGTGATTGACAGTCCTTTTTAAATACATTGAAAAGTCTGTTTCTGTTAACTATTTATTACTAAAGTTGTTTCAGTAAGATATTGGATAGGGAAGGTGAAAATGTCTCTTCCCTATTATTGGTGCTTTTATTTATTTGGGTGGTTGTGTTTGCCTGTAGACTGGCAGACTGCAGTGAACCTCACTTACCGTGCACGTAAAGGGACAGTCCCCTGCTAGTGATGACAAAGGCATACCAAACAGAAAAGCAGACAGCTCAACCATCTATTAATCACGGAGCAAAGCAGAATACCGCCCATCATTCTGCAGAATGGACGGTATCTTTGGTAAACAGTAGTGTTTTCCAAAAGTCTTTAAAATGTTTTTGTAAGTCCAATGTCAAAGACATACTTTTCTCTATTCTGAAAAAGTTAGTCAAAGGGGTACGACAAAGATCTGCAAAATTGTGAGTGGTATAGAGAGGCTGGCTAGGCACCAAGAATTCATTGCCTCTTTCAAAACAAAAACTGTGGGGGGTAAAATTAAGCTATTAGGAGCTATGCTGGAAACAAATGAAAGAGTTTTCTTCATGTAGCAGAGAGTAGTTTTAAGGAACTACTTGCTGAAAGCTATGGTGAATGCCAAAAGC